CAATAACCAGCTTATTTATATCCACAGTTGTAGTGACTTAGGGTTTGGAATTTGCCAAACCTAAGTTTTGATTACCAAGAGAAGTTTTGTACTTCTTGCACTTGCCCTTTCTTCATAACTTTGGCGGAAATCGTCGTAGTGAAACTTCAGTGTTCCGTTAGCTGTCGGTTCTTGAGAGAGTTGGCCAGGCCGGACACCGGGGGCGGCTCCACAACTTTCGAAAAATTAAACCTAAGTCCTATTGCACTGCATGGAGAGCAATTCATTTAAAATCGCTCTTGTTCCCCCCCCCCCCCGACAACTTTGCAAACGTCTCTGCGCGATTTGGTTGAGAATAATGGCTTATGGCAAGTTATTGAATCAGAACGTCGATCACTGCAGGTCATATATCGGCAAGCAATTCTTCATAACTAGACACTGCACAAATGGAAACGATACAGGTTTGCCCAGTGATAAACACTCGCACTGCACAGACTCGCGCACCCCCGACCGAACGCGGCACGGCACAGCGCAACAGCTGGCGCCGGGAAGCCGGGAACGCATTAAGTGAAGGATTCACAGGTGCGCAACTTTATTGCGAACAATAAAAACCTACCGCAAACGATTAAAAAAAAGTTTTCGGGCAATCGGAAATACAAATGTATTGACTTATAGAAATAAAATTGTCATTCACCTTCCTTATAACCCAACAATTTATTTGCCGTAAAAAGTGTCTGGAAATGGAAAGCTGCTAACATGATTCAGCAAGTAGGGAAACGCAGCCGCTACCTGGCGAATAATCTCAGGCTGGTTTAGTGACGAGTGCATTGCTACGGCTTGTTCCTCAACCTTCACAGATTACTATGACAAAACTACCCCTAGTATTTTGATCATCCTGAGGCTGGCTTTCACCTAATAATTTGATGAGGGTCTTCCTCGTTTCGGATTGAGGCGAAAACAAACGTCAAACAACCTTGATAGTTAATTCAGCACTTCAAAACAAAGGTACACCTAGGGTATCATTACAATACCGGGTCATAACGATCTGGATAGTTCTCAGCCTGTAAGCTGACTAAGCGGTAACTAGTCAAGTGGTAGGTACCGGAAGCATTGACAACCTGGTGACTGTTTCGAGACCCTTGTTTTGACACATAGCTCGTCAATATTTTTTACAGTGTAGTGCAGGCAGATGCTTTTAATGAAGCCCAGAAAGAGCGTTGTACTCATGACTAATGGCTTTTTAGAAATGACGTTACTAAGCCTAAACGGTAGTCAAGGGAGAGGGGCAATAGGCAGCTGTGACACAAGGAAGTCATCACAAATTTGATCACCTGTATAAAATCGTAGGTTAAAAAATGGTAGGTGTCAGCCGTCAGACGAATTAAGTTCAATTTAACGTTTTCAAAATCAAAGCTAAACGATCCAACCAAACATTGCCAACATTTCGATAAACAGACCCGGATGGTTCATAGCAGTTTCAACCGAGCCCGAGCAAGGTTAACTGAGTTCGCCGGTTTGGACGGTATAAACAAACGTCCCAGTCGTCCCGGCTCGCGGTCCCGCCCCGTTGTAGGTTCATTCTTTCTAGCGAAAAAGAAGCAATACTTGCAGTACTTCCAGCAGTCATCGAAAATACTTAATCCTTCTCTGGAACTTGAGTCTGAGTCGAGTATCGTCTGGGTCACCCGGACCACCCGAACCACCCTTCTGCCTTGGTCTGCAGGCTGGCAGAGCTGTTCGGTCTGGCCTGAGCACACGCGGTGCGGTAAGTAGGTGACAGGCCAGCTGACAGGTCAGCTGACCTGTCACCGCGCATGTCATGTTGACAGGTCACACTGTAAAAAAAAAAAAATTCACTAGCTAATTTTGAAATTAGGCATTTTTTACGAGTGCCTCCCTTGCACTGCACCTCGTTACAACATATATGGACATTAGTAGTCAGAGCCATGCACGTTAACAATGCCCTTTGTGGAACAAATGCCTACGAGCGAGAGCATGTTCAGGAACCTAATTTTGCGCAGTGTTAATGAACTACGCACAGCCTCACAGTGTTACCCGCCGTTGGCTTGTTCTCGGCCAGTTTTTGGCGTGTCCCTCAATTAGGTCATTTCGCTATTAGCTCAGCTGACGAGGCCCCGGCTGGCACCTACTAAACGGATAACCTTGCGTGCAACCCCGCTTGTTGTCACGAACGCCTGCAGCTGGTAAACGTGCTGGTAAGCTTGCGTGGTTAGCGGGTTCGGATGGCTATGAGGATGTGCCTCATAGCTATCCTCGTCGCATGTTACAACCTAGGAGTCTGTGGCTGCTTTCAGAAGGAGTCCCCCCCCCGCATCCGGGAGCCGGCGTCCATTTTGTGTTGCGTCGCCATTACTGTGTGTGTCTGCCCAACTGCTCTTTGGCTTGATTGAAGGTGAGGCATCTTGTATCATTTGCTGTGTGCTCAACAAAAAGGTTGTCCATTTGTAAACAAAAGTTATTATGCTGTTGAGCTTCTTAGAAGATGTATAGTATCGCATAATGTTGCCCGTCGTTGGCAGAAGTGCGCCGTTATCGTCTATCCAAGTCAGAATAGCTATATGTTTTTTGACTTCAGCTAGCTTGTGGCAGGAATATATCACTTTCTTCAACTTTAATTTAATCATTTTCCAGATTGGTATGCCTTATGATAATAATAATGTTGATATTTGTTTTTTTTTCACCCATTATAGACTTCTCTGGTAAAGAATGGGGCCATGTACCTACATATGTCCTGGCCTACCTTCACCCCGCGACTGCCGCCGGTGCAGAGCTAATGAAAAATCACAAATGTTTGATGGTGGTTATTTAAGAAACCTGATTGCAAATTATTCAGTTAGTTGTTGTTGTTGTTGTTGTTGTTGTTGTTGTTGTTGTTGTTGTTAAAGTTATAGTTATTGTCCTGGCGTTGTTATTGTTCTCGTCCTCGTTCTCGTGCCCGAATAAATGTGCTGCAGCGCTACTCAGTCTGTTTACTTGCGGGTGGCGGTCGAGAGTCGGGGGCACTGGTCGACGGAATTCCGTCGACGGAATTCCGTCGACCATGGTGCCTCGACCCCGAAGGCCAGTAGTGGTACTAGTTAACTAGTGCCACTACTGGCCTTGAGCTAGTACCACTACCAGCCTTGGGGGCTAGTACAATTACTGGGTATGGATTAGTAGGCAGTGGCTAGTTACCTTACCAGGCAGGGGCTATCATGACACCTAGTAGACGCACTACCCACGCTATTTACGTGCGTGTTGTCAAACTAGGTGGAGCACGGTGGTCGTATGCATACGAGGCACAGCCTTGTCGAACAAGCTTGTTACTCGGCAACTAGCCTAAAATTAGCCAAATTTACACGCTCCTGCAATGTTATTTTTGCGCTGAGAATTCCTCTACGAGGGGCTTGTAAGTTTTTTTTACAGTGCAGCTGACAGAGAGGTGATCTGTCAGCTGACAGCATGTTGACAGATCACAGGTCAGCTGACAGCGCGGTGTCAGGTCACCTGACAGCGCGGTGACCGGTTAGCCGTCAGCGCGGTGACTGGTCAGCTGATGTCACGGTGACAGGTCAGCTGACATCATGTTGACAGGTCAGCTGATAGCGCGATGAGGGGTGTTAGCGGGCGCGGGTCCTCTAGCTCCTGCACTACAGGCGCTGATCAATTTCCAGACACTGACAACTGAGAACACGAAGTGCAGGGTTTTCAGCGAAGTCTGCAATGGAAGTCAAGGGTCCGCACGAAATGCAATTACTGTCGAGAGACGGTCGGTGTGTCAGGAGTTGTTCAGAATGTCATTTCGCCATGGTCCGCTATATTTGCAGTGGAGTGTCATCACCTGCTGGCGCTCTGCGGGCTCCGATGACCGGCCCGGGGCGGTGGTCTGCTGTCGGACCCCCGCTGACCGCCGGCCCGCGGTCCGAGACTGAGGAGGAGCCAGCCGCGGCCGCCTCCAGGCCGGCGGCGCGGCGTCGCCCGGTCGTGGCGCTATTGATCCACCGGGCGGGGGTGGGAGGGAGGGTGTCGGGTGGTAACGGGGAGGGGCAGTTCACCAAACACGGCCGTGTGGCACACCAAGTCGCCGGCAATCGGCAGTTCTACATATAGGTCAGACGACGGCCATCGCCACTGGTTATGGTAGGTGACGGCTGTCGGCGACAGGAACTGGCGGTTATCGGCGTCACCTCGATATCAACTGACGCCGGTCGTCGAACCGATTACTGCTCTAACAACGCTGTCTGACAGATTCCACTGACTAACGGAGCACTATCGGAGGTTACTGTCCGTCATTGATATTTTTCTCCGTGCACTGTCGAAGAGCCGCATGCGCCTAACTGAACCCTACGCCAAGCCAAGCTCCGGCCGACGTCCGGCCAGGCGTGCATCGCCGTCACTCATGGATATTGAATATCCCCGTCCTGGAAGCAATGCACAGTACGTACTCCCTTATATAATGCCGTCGCATTTCAAAATGTTCCGACGCACAGCACAGCATACCTTTTGTCCCCGTACTGATCACCGAACTGAGGACGGAAGAAACAACTTTAGCAATTTGTGTTCACCGGGATAGTCTACGCTTTCGGGCTGGAAAGTCTGGCTCTTTGAGCTGGCTCGTATGCATTACCATGATCAACCATTCGCTATTATCATCGTGTCTCAATTACATCACCTGAACAGTCACCTCTGTCACACCTCTGTCACATTACTTGTTCTGCCAAAGTTCCCAACCGTCACCCGGGAGCTGTCTACAGGTCCCGACGGCCACTCTTCCCTGACCTCCGCCCGCGGGCCTGCTGTCGCCTCTCCCATGAGGCCAGCAGTGTCATCAGTCCCTCTCCCATGGGGGCCAGTAACGGCCAGCTGCCGGTCTCCCAGAGACAGCGAGCACAGGTGCGACGGTCGCGCCATCCGACCGAGCGCTGTCGGGGGTGGCGCAGACCAGAGCGGCCGCCGAGCAGAGCTGGGTGTCCGCGTAAAGGTCCGGTTCTACAGTATCGCTGGCTCCGCTGAGCTCCGACATGGGTACGACGCTCATCAAGGAGGCCGTGCTTCTCGCAGTCGCCACCTCTCTCGCCGCCGCTGCCTGTCCCACCAGTGACTGGGCGCAGTACGGCAACTCGTGCTACTGGCTCTCCGACTTCCAACTCGAGTGGCGCTCTGTGAGCAGCGACTGCGGCCTGGTCCAGCCCGGCTCCAAGTCCGTCTCTGTGCACGACCTGCAGGCGCACGCCTTCCTGGCCGATCTGACTGAGGGGAACGGCACATGGCTGGGTCTGCACCGGGCCAGCACCACGGCCGGCTGGACGTGGAGCGACGGCTCGCCGTTCGACTGGGAGTTCTGGCGCAGCGACCAGCCGGCCGGCGAAGGCGAGCGCTGCGCCTTCATGAACTGCGACTCGCACGGCGAGTGGTGTACGGCCGACTGCGCCGACGGCTTCTACTACTACTTCTACGGCTTGTACTTCCTGTGCCAGATCGACGCGTGATCGCCGGCGTGTCAGACCAATCGACAATTTGTAATACAGCTATACCTCTCTAATGTCTTTGGTCGAATCAATGTCAATGATCATAAGCTGTTCGCTGAGGGGAATGCACGTCAAACGGCGAGTTACCTTCTGTAAATTGCGACGTTTGTTGCTGTGCGGAATAGTTATGGCATGAGAAATTGGCATAGAACGTTGCTTCGAGTAAAATAGTCGAAGCAACTTTTGAATGACGGTAATTACGAGCGAGCGCGAAGCGCGTAGCGAGACTTTTCAATATAACGGAAAAATCTCAGTAGGTATGAGCGGCCCGGCCCGGCCTGTAACCGCTGCAGCGGTGTCCGCGTGGCAGCGGTAATCGCCCAGCGCGCTAGGCCGACTGACAAGAGGTCTTTTTTGTCGGGTAGCCCCATCCATTCTACCCCGTAATTTACTTTTCTTAGTGCATCTAGAATACCGTCGTGGCACGTGGCGCGTCATAAGTCAGGGATGTTCAAGCTATTTTGCAGAAGTGGCGATTTGAGTGGCCTACATCTCAGCATCCGCTTGGGCAATTGACATGCGGCAATCTTTGCAGGGTGGTTATATCCATTCTACCAAACATCAGATACTATATATGTATGTGGGTCACCTCCACTGCACGTGCAAAATGCAAAAAAAGGTGCCAAGTTTGTTCTCATTATAATAACTCAGTAATCACTGGGCCGATTTCGCTGAGACTTGGACATGCAAGTAGGCACCCAGCCAGGGGAGTCGCCACGGATTTTTGAGTGGGGGGAGGGGTCGGGTTTCCGGTCTTCGTCTTGATGGGTAGGGGTTTTTTAGCCACACTCCCGGTTTTTTCGTGTGTTGAGAAAAGAAACCTCGGCGCGCAGCACCACAAAAGCAGCGGTATATCTTATTGTACATCACTTTTGCATCGTGCATAAAAATCAAGCACAGGTCATCTGAGGTCAGGTCACAATGTCATGTCAAGTTCAGTTTTAATGCCTCCAAAAACTGCAATCTTGTCATTCCTATAGATAATCTCCTATAAGTCTGAAATTGGTGTAATGAATGGGATTATAAGTGCCAACAGTTCATGACATAGGCGCGGGAACCGGGGGGCAGTGGGGGCAGCTTGCCCCCCCAACTCGGGGGCCGTGGGGGCGGTGCCCCCACAACTTTGAGACGGAATACCGCACTTTTTTTGCAAATGTTTTCTTTTTTTGTTGAAAAAGCCAAGGGATGAAAAATAAGTGGCCTAAAACCGGTGAGAAAACTAGATTTGGGGGTACCCTAGGTTGAACTCTATTATGGTGTGCCCCCCCCAGTCTGAAAGTAGTTCCCGCGCCCATGGACTTCATGAATCTGGGATTTAAATCTGAGAAGTGAAGTCAGGTCAAATATGTGACCTCACCAATCATGATATAGTAAGATATGGGAAAAAGCACGAATGCCCTCTGCTTTGAACGAATATGCTAAAAGCGCTTGATACTTTTCTAGCCATGGCACCTTGCTCATTTTAGAGACAAGGTGCAGCTAATGACCAGTGGTGACTCGAATGTTCAGTCATTAGGTCATCAAAGGTCTCTAACACATTTTCGACAACAACTTTTGATGGAGACTCTGTAGAGCGATGACAGCACCTGGGGTCTGTTCAGCTCAGCAGCACAGATCGATTCATATGCAGCAGGTTCTTTTCCGGTCAGGACATGACCTTTTTCAGGACATGACCTTTACCTGATGTCAAGTGTTCTAGTTAAGTTTTTAAGTTCAAATTGTAAGCCATGCGACGTGTTTCGACGAAACAAACACGATGGTGATAACATGAATAATGAATATCATACACATTCACTGAATCATAGGTTGTTACAGAACAAATGTTTCGGCAAAATCCGTCCGTTTAGCTGTTTGGACTCTGTGGTACACAAGCCATAGACCCGAGAAAAGCCCGAGAGGGGTCCACCATCTGACCCCATTTCCCCTATGCAGGCAGGTCCGAGGGTAGTCAGGGCTGAGGCTAGCTAGGTACCTCGTAGTTACTGATACGTCATCCGACAAATCGACTGCAACCATTATTTTGACAACCAGACGATCGCTTGGGTCAGTTTTGGCGCGCTAACTCATTTGAGAGATAAAAAGGAACTAGAATAGTTTTTTTTTAATATTGTCACGCTGATGTTCCACGCCCAAAGCTTATTGACACATAAGCAATAGGGACTAGGGAGCTCTTGAAGCGATTCTGAATCTGACGTTGTATTTGTTGATGTTGCTGACGCCAACTTCACTGACATGATAGCTAAAAAAAGCATACTTCGCGACCCCCGCGACCCCCGTCGGCGACGCCCCTGCACCAACCAGTCAATGCGTTCCCATGCGTTAGGGTTAGGGTGCTACTGCATCACGTGCGCACGTGCAGGGGCAATTCCAGATCTCTAGAGCGGCTGGACCAATTGTGCTCAGATTTGGTATGAAGTTGGGGACCGGTTAGTAGGGTGCCGTGCAAAAGTCAGTTATAACTCAGTTTGCACGTGCGCACGTGCAGCGGATGTCGCTTCCAGATCTCGGAAACTGCTGGGCCAATTTCACCCAAATTTGGCACAATGTTACCAACCGGTTATTAGGGTGCCGTGCATAAGCACGTTAGAAGAACCTTCTCGCCCTTCCGGACGTACAGGGCTCTCTCGCTCGCTCGTTAGTCGCCCAAAAAGGCGTTTTACTGATCCCAACTATGTAGTTTTTTCAATTGCACAATTTTCATGAAATGCACATCGTTTGTTGTCTTTTAATCATATTTATTCGGTTTTCTCCGAAGTATTCATTTTTACTTTTTCACATGTAGATGCAGATTCACATTTCCTACAGGCCATTATCTAAACACATTGCTTCGACAGCAAACTAACTAAGACCGATGACAAGCTCTGGTAAACACGTTTATTGTTACATCTACATGTCATTGCTGATGGGTACATCTCCATGTGTATTGAGGATAAGCTATGGGGACAGTGACCGGAATACATTCCCTTAGCTAATGCTGAGAAAAACGAGCGATAAACCGTCTGTAGGCCGTTATGACGAGCATGAATAAGTCCAGCCAAGACATAAGAGAGCTAAGACACAGCTTAGATTTTTTTTTTGAATTTGCTCCCGACGGGCTACAGCCCTAGTCGGGGCAGGGGCAAGTTACTAGCTGGCAATTAGCCAGATCTTTCGTTTTACGTTACTTTAATGCCGGCTAGCTTAGACTGCAGGGACGCTATTATAGACCAGTGGCGGCGGAAGGTAATTTTGGATGGGGGTGCAAAGTTTTCTCAAGGGGCCCTCTGGAAGTTTTGGGCCCCCTTCATTTTTTTTTTGAGTGATTATTATTGATTTATGAAAAACGAAGATTTCAGAAAACTACCCCCTTACACACAGATTCTGTAAAAGGTTTGAAATTGCAGTGTACCTACCTATCTCAAATAATGAAAGCATAAAGAATCAAATGCAGCTAGTGTTTTATCGGCTAATCTTTTAGTCTAGCCACCACCCGCAGCGTCTCAAACCACTTTTCTAGATCCGCAGTGGCAGTGGACCATTGAGGGCCCTACGAGACCGTTCCAAGAAGACCGTGTTTAGAAGCCCCTTGGAAACCGACCACATAGAGACTCCTCCAGAGACCTACATGACTCCCCAGACTGAATGAGCCCTCCGATCAGGGTCGGTCCCTTGAAAGTTGCTGAAAGGTTTCAGAAGGCAGTATAGGCTCGAAAGTCTTTTGAGGGCTCTCAGAAACCGGCATCTGACCCCAAAAAGCCTGTATGGAAGCCCTCCAAAGCCGGGATGGAGGCCACAGGCCCTTGTGGACGAGTGCCGATGCTGTCAAATAAATAAATAAATAAATAAATAAATAAATAAATAAATAAATAAATAAATAAATAAATAAATAAATACAGGAGCCGATGTTTAGCCTAAAGAGCCGGTATGGAGTACTGAATAGAGGAAAGAGGTCTCAGTGGGGCCTTCAGGGGCAAGCGTTTGAGCCCCAAAGGTATGTGTGGGGTCTTAGAGGCAGGTAGACCCCTGGGATATGCACGGGGTCCCAGGAGCTCGCGTGTGAGCCCAAATATTCGGCTGGCGGTTACTAGAACCAGCATGGGGATTCTTAGAAGCCGCTTAGACCCACATTTCATGGTTCATGAGTCCCAAGAGTCGATGTAGGGGCCATAAAAGCCAGTGTAGGGCCTATGGCCCCATAAGTTCCGACATTTGAGACTCTCAGAGGCCGGCGACGGGGCACCAAGAGCAGATAACGTGTGCCTCAACAAGTCGACATGGGGCCTGAGAATCAGTGCATGGAACTCCAGGAGCCTGCGTGAGCTCTCGAAATCTTCGTATTTCGTAAGGTCCACAAAGGTCGTTGGGTCCTCTGAATCTGAACTCTGCGGGGCCCTCAAAGGCCAGCATGTGTCTTAGCAGACCCTCAGAGGTCAGCATAGTTAAGTTGAGAACCTCCGAGGCCGTCGTAGGGTTCTTCAGAGGCCAGCGTTGGCCCTTGAAGCCTTCGTTAGGCCCTAGAAGCCGTCAAGAGGGCCCTCAGAGGTCAGCATGGCCCCTGGAGCCTGCCTGCGTCGAGGCCCTCAGAGGCCGTCGTGGGGCCCTCAGACGCCAGCGTGGGCCTTTGGAGCTTGCGTTGGGTCTTAGAGACCATCGTGAGGGTCCAGAGAGGTCGTCGTCAGGGCCCTCAGCCCCTCAGGGACCGTCCTGGAGTCCTCAGAAGTTGTTGGGAGGGCCCTTAGAAGCCTTTGAGAGGATCATCAGAGGTCGTCATGAGGGTCCTTGGCCATAGTGAGGGTCCTCATGGGCCCTTAGATATCTTTGTAGGGCTCTCAGAGGCCTTGGTAAGACCGCTAGAGGCCATCGTTAGAGCCCTCAGATGCCAGCATAGCCCCTGCAGCCTGGTTGTGTTGGGGCCCTCAGAGGCCATCGCTGGGCTGTCTGAAGCCAAATGGGCCCTCAGACTTGAGTTGAGTCTAGGGCCGTCACGAGGGCCTTCAGAGACCGTCGTAGAGGCCCTCAGAGGCCAGCGGGCCCCTTGAGTCCTGTGGGACCCTCAGCGGTCATCATGAGGGCCCTTGGTGGTCGTTATAGGGCCCCAGGGGACAGAGGTCGTGAGAGCCCTCAGAGATCATCGTAAGGGCCCTCAGAGGCCGTCATAGGGACCCTCAGAGGCCAGCGTGGTTCCTGGAGTCTCCTTGGGGCCCTGGAGTCTCTGTGGCACCCTCAGCGGTCGTCATGTGGGCCCTTAGTGGCCGTTGTAGGGCCCCAGGGGACAGAGGTCGTCGTGGGAGCCCTCAGAGATAGTCATAAAAGGGCCCTCTGAGGCCGTCGTGGGGGCCCTCAGATGCCGCATGGAGCACCAAACGCGGCTCGGGACACTTCTGGCCGGTGTGGGGGCCCCAAAGACTAGCATGGGGCGCTCCTGACCATAATTGGACATCCCGGATGATTCCACATCAGTGTTCGTTTCCCGATTACTGGTTTTCAGGAGAAAATGTATTGGATGGTGTGACGGGCCCCTTGTACGGATTTTGGGGGTGCAAAAAGATATGTTTGCACCCCCATGTTTTCGATGGGGGTGCAGCTGCACCCCCTGCACCCCCTATTCCGCCGCCACTGTTATAGACTGCAGCCCCTGGAGAACGGGCATCGAACGTCATCTGCTACGCAAACAATCACACACGGCGTGGGACGCACTGCTCAATGAAAATTGCATAGGCATGCTCGCATTTTCTGTATTTAAACATGTAGCTAGAGGTGTTCGCATTTCGTGGCATTCACCAGGCAAACAATCTTTATGATTGCTGTTGAGAAGCGTTCCATTTTTTTTTCTAGCGATAGTTGATCGCTCACAAATCACACTTGTCTATTTTGTATCCCGATATTTTCTCCTGTGTGACAACTGGCAGTTGTGCGAAAAGCTGTTTTTCAGATTAGCCATGGCAATGGTCTTGCATATGCTAAAAAAAAAAAAACACGATGAAAATGGAAAGCATACTCGATAACCATAGTTTTGCCAGCGCAGCCCATATCATTTAAATCCATAGAAGGAAAACAAATAATAAAGCTCTGAACCCTGAATCATCCCTAAATTCATTTAGCTGCTGCTTCTTCTTCTCCAGCAAAACACGCTTTCAACCAGCGCACACCAAAAATCTCCCGTCTATAAGAATTATTCGCGGGCCGGAATCACATTAGCATTCAAAAGTTATACACCAGCATTCAGGCGATTTCGCTTATGCTCCGTTCCGTCAACAGCCTGAGCAGCGGCGATATGGAGTCTGACCCGTCAATATTTACTCCGTTGCAGGTTCTCTTTTCACCGGCCGTCAACGCCTGAGCACACGCTGGCTGCCACCATGTCGATTACGACATGCATTCAGGTGAGCGGACACGCAAATAGGGTGATGGAGCACCTCCATGTCGGAGCGCGCTTAGTCCAGCGCATGGTAAATCGAGGAAAATAACAATTAAATGGAACACTGGTAATGTTTATGTTTGACACCACCTAATGCCTTTTTGCTTCGTTTTTTGTTTAACGCTACCTGTGATTCAATTCTTTTTTGCATTTCATATCCTAGGCAAACACGTTTTTACGAGCAAATGTGAGGCGCTGAGCATGTAGTCTATCACGTACTTTCTTTGTAATCTGAACGGCCCGTTCTGACCTGTAACGCTTTTGAGATGCTTAGGTATATCTTCGCAGCCGTGCATCCTTTTGACAGAAAATCGGAAAGCCTCATTTCTTTTACTCTGCCCCGGAAAATAATTTTGTATACAGAGTTCTACTGCCCCGGCATTGAATATACAAATTTGTTATGGCTCCGCTGGTGCAGTGTCCACATCAGTTGGTATACATTTTTTGTTTCACTGCAATGGGTACCCGTAAACGTTTTGTGGAGTTTCTTACACTCACCAGCTGACAACAGACTAATTGCATATAAGTTAGCAATCATCATACAAGTCAAGCATATGCAAGGGCGGTGGTTAGATCAAAACGTATCAGTGAGTTATTTTACCTGTAAGCCTAGTTTACCTTACACGAATTGCTGAGTTGATATTCATGGCTGGGGAAGCGAGCTGTTGCGTCAAAGCAGAAATGCCGGCTTTGCGGTTCCAACAGGGCGTATTTTAACATGTTAACTGGGTCGGCAATTGCCGACCCAGTCACGGAGAATGCCGACCCAGTGACAGCCGTTTGCCGACCCAGTTGCCGCCCCCTCTAGGATGCAGCACGCACATGCAGGCTAGGTGCCGTCATTCATAGTGAGGCTGCTGCCCTCCGAAATGATAATGCCGCCTCTTAAAGTGAAGCAGCCGTCTATAGAAAGTGATGATCCCACAACTCAATGTGACAGTGCCGCCCCTAAATCTGTTAGTAGTCCCACTCAATGTAATGGTGCCGCCCTTCTAAGCATCTGTGGAGCCCCTCAATGTGATGATACCGCCCCTCAAGAAGATGATGCCGCCCCTTTCAGTATCGGTGGCGCCCCTCAATGTGATGGTGCCGCCCTCAAAGGGCCGGTGGCGCCCCTGAATGTGATGGTGCTGCCCGCCAACGAGTCGATGGCGCCCCTCAAAATGATGCTGCCGCCCCTTAAAGTGTTGGCGCCGCCCCTTATAGTGTCAGTGACGCCCTTCGAAGTGTCGGAGGAACCCACTAATATAATGGTGCCGCCCCTCTAGATATCCACATAGCCCCTCATTGTGATGGAGCCGCCCTCAAGCAGATGATGCCGCCCCTGAATGTGATGGTGCTGCCCGCCAACGAGTTGGTGGCGCCCCTCAAAATGATGCTGCCGCCCCTTAAAGTGTTAGTGCCGCCCCTTATAGTGTCAGTGACGCCCTTCGAAGTGTCAGAGGAACCCACCAATATAATGGTGCCGCCCCTCTAGGTATCCACATAGCCCCTCATTGTGATGGAGCTGCCCCTCAAGCAGATAATGCCGCCCCTCAAGAAGATGACGCCGCCCCTTTCAGTATCGGTGGCGCCCCTCAATGTGATGGTGCCTCCCTCAAAGTGCCAGTGGCGCCCCTAAATGTGATGGTGTCTCCTGTCAACGAGTCGGTGGCACCCCTCAAAATGATGCTGCCGCCCCTAAAAGTGCTGGTGCCGCCCCTTACAGTGTCAGTGGCGCCCTTCAAAGTTTTGGAGGAACTCATCAATACAATGTTGCCGCCCTCTAACTTTCTGTAGCGCCCCTCCATATACATAATGGTGCCGCTTCTCAAACCATCCGTGGCGCCCCTCAAAGTGATGGTGCCGCCCCTTACAGTGTCGGTGGTGTCTCCTCAAAAGTCAAGGTGCCGCCTCTCAAAGAAATGCTGGTGTCCCTCGAAGTGTCGGAGGCGCTCCTCAATGTCATGTTGCCGCCCCTCAAACCTTCCGTAACGCCCCTCCACGTCATGGTGCCGCCCCCCCCCCAATGTGCTCACGGCGCCCATATGTGATAGTAACGCCGGTCAAAGTGCTCCTGGCAGTGTCGGTGGCGCCCCTTATAGTGTCGGTGGCGCCCCGAACAGTATCGGTGGTGGCCCTCAAAGTGATGATGTCACCCTCAAACAAACGGTGGCGCCCTTCGAAGTATCGGAGTCCCTAAATATCATACCTATTGCCGCCCATTAACGATCTGTAGCACCCCTCCATATGATGGAGCCGCCCCTTAAAGTATCCATGGCGGTCCTTAAAGTTACAGTGCCGCCCCTTACAATGTGGGTGGCGTCCTCAAAATAAAAGTGATGTTGCCCCCCCCCCCCCCGAGTAATGTTGGCGTCTCTTTCTTCTTTTTAAGCATCGGAGGCGCTCCTCATTGTCATTTTGCCCCACATCACTGCTCACATGGCGCCCTTCAATGTAATGGTGCCACCCCGCAACGCTCAAAGACATAACTGCGCTCCTCACAGTGTCGGTGGCCCTAAAAAAAATTTGGTGGCGCGCCTCAAAAAACAAAATGATGCTGTCGTCCCTTAGCATATCTGCAGCGCCCCCAAAATGATAGTGCCTTCCCTTAACCGGCGCCGGGCTGAGTTTGTTTAAACCCCCCTCCCGACCCCTATAACTTGGCTACTTAGGCCACGTAGCGACACGCGGTAAGCGGTATTCGAAAGAGTGTCAAAAACTGCTTGGGTTAGTTGGTTAACCGTGCTTTGGTTAGGGCAAGTCAAATGTCAAATATCAGGTGACCAGAGGTCATCAAAGGTGAAATGTGGGTGAAATGTTGTCTGTTTCAACATTTATTGACAAACTGGCGCATAACTCGGGGAAGAATAGAACTACAGCACCGCGAAAAAGCGCATTCGATAGCTCTTCAACGTTCCTATGAAGTCTTCAGACTTGACCTAACATCAACGGCTTAACCTACAGAGCACAACTTGTTTAACCCGTGCCGGGCCGGGGAGGGTTGGAGGGGACAGTGGACCCCCTGCGCCCCTCTACTGAGCTGTTTTAATGAAGAACCTTTACTGTAATAATTATTGACTCACGAAAGTTATGACATTGTTTTTTTCAGTACTGTGCTCCTCTCGTCGAGATGCGTCGAATGAACTATAATTTGACATTCAAACGTCATTTGGGAAATTTGAGCTCAGGTCCAGGTCATGACCTGGCTGGTAAAGGTCATGTTGCATATCAGTCGATTTGTATCGTCAAACTGAAATCATCTATGTAAGGTGTTTTCATCGCTCAGGCATGTCGCATGTCTCTATCAGAAGTTATTGGAAAAACTGCTGGAGGCCTACCATGACCTGACATGACCTCAAGGACATAACGAGGGGTCGTGGGTGGCAATTTTCCGATTAAGTGTGTCATTTTTAATTGTTTTCTGATGTTTAAATTCGTTAATTTTGACATTTGTCTACCTATAAAAAGAGGCACATGCCCTGATTTCATCCCATTTCCTTTTACCTAATGGAAGGGTCGCAAAATTGTCCTTACATTTGGTCAGAGACATCGCAATTTCGAGACTTACATTTAACCCTCGCCGGTTGATGCAACCCCCCTAAGGTTTATCGCGAATAACTCGCGTAAAAAGCGGCCGATCGCAACGAAACTTTCAGTACCCTCGAATTGATCAATTTTACACCTACCCTGCAAATTGATGACCCTGACTTCAATGACCTTTCACCTGTGACCTCTTTTCCGTGACCATGTTTGGCCGAAATCAAGATTCGGCGTATGTCGGCTCGCATTAACCGCGCGTTTGCAAGCTTTTCGTGGTTTCAAACGTTCAAACATGTGATTTGATGTTGCTCCCATGCATTAGGGTGGGTGTCAAGGTCACCTGAAGGTCAGGTCAGGTCATTGACCTTTGGTGACCTCGGTTCACTTTTTCGAGTTTTACATGTTTCTAGGCTAGTTTTTGGAGCTGAATTCGAATTTAGCAACCATTTAAATATTTCCGAAGTAGTTTTGGTGCCTTCGTAACATGTTACGAAGCTGTCAGAGGCGGATGACAGGTACTACGAATACCCGGTACGACCCCTACCGGTTGACCTGACCTGACCTGACCTGACCTGACCTGACCCGACCTGGTCTAAACGCTTAACGACATCATCTGTGATCAAAACTAACACGATATTTGTGATCAGCACCACGGAAAACCCCTTAGCAGCCACAATTTACGACTTTCAAACAGGTCCCGATATTCCCGATTTTTGGGTCATTGACCTGACCTGGAAGGTCAACCGATGACCTAGGACCTTGAAATTGGGTATCATTGGCTTCCTCTCGTGACGGGCAACACGCTCGTTTTTTTTCTGCGAAGCTCTAGCTCCATCAGGGGCCAAACGAGGGGGGGGGGGTCGTACCAACCAACCTTGTGCCGTCGAAGGACTCAAAATGGCCTGTGCCGGCGAGGGTTATATATACAGTTACACACTGTTTGTCTTATCAATCGCTGAAGTTATAAAGGGATCGTTCAGTCGGTATATCTATGGTGAGCATTTGCCTGTTCCGTGGCTCAGTTGTGTGGGACCGATTCCCTTCTTCCATATCATGATAAAGAGAGTACACGTTCAAGCTTTGTTACATAGAAATAGCCGTCACTTTCCCCACGTGTCGGCACCGTCCACCGACCCGGCGGGTCGGCGGACCGGTCCTTCATTGTGCAACCACCCTGCATATAACGCACAGGCACTGGCGAATCAGAATCAGAATCAGAACCAGAGTTGCAATACAAGTCTCGGCCCGCTCAGTCGTCTCTCCATCCGCGCCTCCGCGACAATGGTGGCAGCGGCGGTCGAGGGGACTTGTGCCCCTCACCACGGACCCCAGCCTCTACATCTGCACTGACATCGCAGACTGGTTAGTCCGTGCTCCGTGACAGTGTATCGCCCCTACGTCGCGTCATCGACTAGGGAGCTGATCATCCTGGACTCGTCATCG